GGCCCCAACCAGGGCTCATGTAGTAATATATATAGGGATGCAAAATATGTAGCAATTTGCAAAAGCAACATGCCTCTTTAGAACATCTTCAAATTTTCACAAAATTGAGGGATTTTGTTGCCCCAACCCGGGCTCGTGTAGATCTGCATGCCTAACGGGGAACGGCCAATAAAAATAACATCATGCACGTTCACCACCATAGAGAACTGGGCGGATCCGAGTTTACCGCTGTGGAAAAGGTTGGAGAATAAATTTAAAATTGTTCCATCAACGAGGTAGATTAACATTTTTTAAAAAGCTTAGTGATTGAGTTTTGACTTGGGAGAGCCTAAATTACTTAGCTTTCTCAAATTTAACAACATCACGTTTGACTTGAGATGAGTAGTTTTTGTTATTTTTCATGAAAATTTACTCTCACATTCGAATAGGGGTTGTGTTAATATCATTTGATACTAAAGTAGTTGTGCCAATATCATTTGCCACATCCTCAAGTAGACCAAAACCTCTAATCTAATCTAGGATTGCTTTTTTTTTTTAAATTTTAAACTTTTATAAATAAGAGGTTTTTAATTCGGAATCTCTTATCTACACTCTTTCTCCCAATCCATCCCTTCCCCTTAGTATTGCTGTTTGCAGTACAAGATCCACCAAGTTGCTCATATATGATACCACTCATCTACAAACACACAAAAAAACGCAATTATGTAGGTAGGCTATACCCAAAGAAACTAGAGAGTGCAAACTCATAATGAAGCCGACTTCCAAATTTAGCGAACATATTCATGAGCATTGTCGCGTCAAGGAATATCTCAACTTGGTTAAAGGACCATCCTTTTTGATCCCTTCATTATGTTTTACCCTATTGCTCAGCTTCTACTTCCTGTGTGGTTCCAACACTCTCAAGTCCACCTTCGAACGTGGAGACTACCATGTTCAAAGAGAATCGTTAGACCAGCTCGGCAACCGTAGGCCAGGTATGTCATCTGTCATTTCATTGGTGCAACTCGATTTATTCACAAGAACATCTTACAATATATTAAACCTGCTCGATTTGGTTTTTGCAATGAATTTGAACCCTGTTCTTTATGTTATTTTGTAGATAATGAAAAATGTGATCTATCGAAGGGTCGATGGATTCGAGATGTAAAAGAGCCTTTGTATACAAATTTCAGCTGTAAAACACTCCCACACCATAAGAACTGTTTCTTGCACGGGAGGATGGACAGGGACTTCCTTCACTGGAGATGGAAGCCTGACCAATGCGAACTTCCTGTCTTCAATCCTAGGAGCTTTCTGAACATTGTTAAAGGAAAAACGATGGGTTTCATAGGTGACTCGCTGGCCAGGAATCACGTGGATTCGCTTCTCTGTTTATTATCTGAGGTTTGATCTTGAAATCCTTCTCTCAAATATATTCAGACATATGACACCAAACGTTTACTCGCATTTTAATTATATGATCCAGTTGGATAAGATCCAACACCCTTAATGAATTTGTTTGTAGAATTTTCATTCCCATATCTTAGGCTTCTAAGTTATAACCAATGCTTTATGCTTTGTTAATACTTTTGTCTATAATTTGAGCTAATCTAGTACATTATTAGTACATACACTATCACAGTTAAATATATAACATGTATGTAAAATTTGGATTTTAAATTCGAATTAAGATTAATTATCATACATCTAACGAAAATACAACATCAAACACACTACAAAAATAACAAATTTGAAGGATTTGTAATACATCAGTTTTGAGAAAATTATAAATATTACATTATAAATCTTCAACCTATTCCACATAATATTAATCTCTTTAAGTGGGTAGACCCTAAATTTTACAAAAACAGAAGAAAAATATGTGTAGTATAGCAATCAAGGAAGAAAAATATATGTTTTGCATCGAAGTTTACTTTTTTCCATAATCATTGACTGTAACATAGCATATATTTTTCTTCATTTTTCTCAAAGTTTAGTAGCTACCCGTTTAAAGTAATTATATGCATGATAATTCTAGACAAAAAAAAAGAATATTGTTTTTTCAATTTATGTTATTCATAATTTTAAAAAATAATTCATTAATACATAAGTGTCATGTACAACTGAGAATTTAAACAAAATAGTAGACTTCTAGCTTAAGATACTAGAATACTACGCTAATTCCATCCTTATCATACAATTAATTCTATCTTTATTGTATAGAAATACAAAAACTAATTCTATCCTAATTGTATACTATAAGAATATAAGAGTGATATAGACTAAAAGGATAGCGTCTGCTCTTATCCACAAATTTGGTAAGGGCACAATCAATGAGTTCACAACCACTATTGTCATAACAAACTAAACTTTGTGGACTTGAAAAACTCCCACATTCGGATGAACTACATGCTGGTTATAAGTCAGGTTGGGAACCTTGGTGGTAGCAATGATGATAGATAAGTTGAAACTGTGGAAATCGTAAAAATTACTGGGAGTTGTACCGGGATGTTGAAATAGCTGCAAAAGAGATATTTGATTCTTCAAAGTTATAGGTAAATCAAAATAACTTTTTTGTGTGTATAGAAGAAGGTAACAAGTGCCTGCTTTTTCCATTAATATGCCCAAAAGTTTTGATCTAACCAATGTCCAACCGATTCTCGATTTGGCCATAGAATATCACCTAGTTAAAAATCAGTTGGCTGCATTTCAAACCATTTAAAACATAAAAAATTCTTAATCTATGTAGCTAAAGTAGTGGATCTTCTTAAACAATTACAAAGAAAATTAAGTTAGTTGAATTAAATAAAATATTAGTACAACCAATCAAAAGTCTTAAACAGATGTCAATAAAGTTACAGCATTTTGGGTTAAAAAACTAGTGAAGTTTGGTTCGATTTCACCTTTAGCTGCATAATCACAATGAATCAATTAAACATGTCTCATTTTTTTATATTTCTAACTTTGACTAATTTTCATGGGGGTAAAGTGTATGCATTTAAGATTGAAGAGCGTAGAGTTCAGCTACCTACTAAGTACAGGGGTAAAGTATTACTACTACGTGATTGACATTTTTCATATAATACTAGTGTTTATGCCCGCTTAGTAGCAAATTCACAGCTTTGAAAGCTGAGTTGGAAGGGCGAGGAATTCAAGTCCGGGTGGAGTCTGTAAAGTGCTTCACTAACAAGGCTGCAGATGCAATTGTGAAACTGTTTGGTAATTTGAAAGGGCCAAAAGTACGAGGGAAGGGAGGCAATGTCAGGACTGATCTTACAAAAGATAACTCAAGTGAAGTTGAAAGAAAAGTTAAAGAAAATTTGCTGAAGAAAAGTAATCTTGATATCATTATTAAGAAGAAAAGCTAAAGAAAATTTGCTGAAGAAGATTAATTCTTATAATTTATTTAGTCTTTTCTTTTAATACAACTACATTTAGTCAGAACTATCACTTGTCAAATGTTAAAATCATAGTTTTATTAATCTAATTAGATATTGGACCGACAATATTACAAATGCAAGGGATGTAGCCATACAGTGCAATAACAAATTCAAATTCATTTAACTTGAAAATCTTTGAACAACTACTATATTTCACGAAAAACATTTGTCTGAGAAAATATTTCTTGATCTTAAACATTTCACATCCCACCATACGATGCCATAGCCATAGGCTGGATTTGAATCAAAGGAAATTTATATGAAAAAAGTAAATCAAGAGATGGGGAGTTAAAAGGAAGTTAAATTAGACTTGTTTTACATTTGGAATGGTGAGAATACATAAATAAAGTAGACTTGATTCAGGCCCTTATTTAAAGCTAGCAAAAGTTTGGTGGACATAAATAAAATTTTTTGGTCAACAATGTACGTGAAAGTACACCATACAATATAAAAAATCCATAAATCATATCCACACCAACTTTAATCACGTTACTCTCAGAGTTGGGGCACTGAAGCACTAAATTACACTGTCGTCTAGGTACTCTCGAGTTTGTTTGGACAAAGGAAATTTAGAAAAAAAAATTTTGCCTCACAAATCCCAATCACCTTTTTATCTTCCCAACCACCTTTTTATCTCACATACATCACATCACAAAAGTGCTACAGTAAATATCTCAAATAAATCATCCAAATAAACTCTTATCCAAACAAACTCAGTGGTTTTTGCCCCCACTAGTGAATAAAAAGCCAAGATACAAATGACTAATTTGGTGAATTGATTGTAATTGAGTACTGAACCATTGAAAACCAACTTGTTTCTATTATTTCGGCACTTTGGAAGTTAATTCGATTACTCAAATACTCCATAGTCCAGTCATATAAACTTTGATGGAAAATAAAAGAAAAGAGGTCTATCGGTTAAGTATGCTTAGCAGCTTGCAACTCAAAAAATCAGAGAAAACCTGTTAACTGAAGTATTCTTCACTAATTGCAATTTCTTTCAACTCTTCCAATTTTCAAATTAACTCCCAATTTATGGGAAGAAGTTCAAATTCCTTTCTTTGTATTCACCAATTTGCATATTGTTGGCATATTGCATATTATTGTCTTTCAAAGTGAATTGGAGTTAATTTGGTAATGCGCAAATAGGCACTCAGTCGTTATTTTCACTAATGAAATATTTCTAATAGTATTTGTAAACATATTTTGTAGACAATTGATCAATAATAGTTCGATTAAGCAAAATGTATTTCACAGAGTTGGAAACGAGAACATTATGTACAGTTTATCAAAACATAAACACCATTCATAGAAAGTAATTATGATAGGTTTTTTTCTTTTTATGTTTTTCAAAGAAATATTATCATTGTAGCAAGAAATAAAACGGAACCCCACACCTCTTTTTTTTTTTTTTTTTTTTGCTTTTTATATGTTACCATGCTGCATGCATGGATAGAAACTTGGTTAAATCTGGTTCAAAGAAACTCCATTTTGCAGGAAGAAACCCCACAAGAAGTATACAGGGGGGATGAGGGAGGCAAAACCATAACGTGGCACTTTCCTCATCACAACTTCACCATCATGGTGCTGTGGTCGCAATTCCTCGTCTCCGCCTCGGAGATGGTAGTGAACGGGTCAGCAACCGACAGTTTCCATTTGCACCTAGACAAAATTGATGAGAGTTGGGCGCAAAAACTACCAGCCCTGGATTATGCCATTATCTCAGCCGGCCACTGGTTCTTCAGAACCAACTACGTGTCCGAGGGTGGTCGTTTTCTTGGATGCATTTACTCCCACGATCCTAACGCAACGTACCTGACCCCTGACATTGCCATCCAAGGAGTTTTTAGGCTTGCTCTTAAGTCCATCAACGACTGCAACAACTGCTCGAGGATGCTAACTTTAGTGAGAACATTTTCACCAGCCCATTTCGAGAATGGCGCATGGAACATGGGAGGGACTTGCAATAGAACAAGCCCACTTGCTCCAGAAGAGATTAACTACAATGGCGTGGAATGGGATAACAGGAATGTCCAATTAGCAGAGGTTGAAAATGCACACAAATTGGGAGAGAAAAGGGGGAGAACATTTGATGTTTTAGATGTTACTGGAGCTATGTCAATGAGGCCTGATGGCCACCCTGATGTACATTGGGATCCCTTCTGGGCTAAGGGAACCAGTGATTGCATCCATTGGTGCTTGCCGGGGCCGGTTGATACTTGGAACGAAATTTTGCTTGAAACACTGAGAAGGCATGCATCAGAAGATGTTAAAAACTAAAATACTTCAATACTGAAACAGTTTGGACTCCAAAAAAAGCCGCCAGCGGAGCTCATTGTTTGTTGAGGTCTAACCCATTTGAGAGGCAATCCTAATGCGGGCTGTCTTTCTGCGGTTAATATCCGGGAAGAGACTCTCTGCAATTATAAGAGCAATTGCACTATACAATTCTTGGTTCGGATGGGATGCATTTGAAATTGGACAGATTAGATTGATTTTGAGATGCAATTTAAGCCGGAGGAATTGTAAGTAAGAGTTCTTAAATTCAATTCCTTACTTTAAAAAGAATTTAAAAAAAGAGATACAATTTTTAATGAGTAAAAGCTCTCTCTCTCTATATATATATATGCACATTGTTTTATTCATGTGTATATTTTTGTTTTAGTTTTCACATTTGTTGTGCTACTGCTTGCATTGTATGGCATAACTGGTACTGATAATTGTAGAGATGCCGAACCTGAAATACCCTCTCAAACTGCTGAAGTGAGATTTGGGAGAAAATCTCAAAAATTTGATCACTGATTAAGTGATTTTTGTTGGCAAAATAAATCAAGTTTATAAGTTTCTATTTATTTATTTGTTAGTTTTATTGGAGTTAGGTATATAGTATATAGTCGTGTGATTTAGGAGTTTGTGTGTTTTTTTTTTATAATTTTTTATTCAAGTAATTTCTTACCCAATCTGATATGTTATAAATAGAACGTTATTTTTTTTTTTTTTGAGGGAATAGGACATTACTTGGAGAGTCTTCTTAAGGGAGTGCAGGAGAGACTGCAAGGTTTTTATTGCACGTGGCTTTCTTTCATTGTTTGTTATTTCAATAATAGTGTGAATTATTTATTTTCTTCTCTACAACGTAAATATTTTGAGTGGTTATTTTACTCCTTTAATTCTGTAACCCCAAACGTATAGTTAATATTAGAACTCTAAATTTGCGTTCTACAATTTTCATTTTGGATTGCCTTAGGTGGATTTGGCCATTCTTTGCTTTCTGAATGTAATCATCGTTTGTTTATACTTGTGTCTTAGGCATTACTTCTCTTCTGTCATAGAATAACTTTATACCTAAAATTCACCTTTACAAAACAAATCTTTATTAATTGAGAGTCTATTTATGTCACTTTTAATTAAGAAAATATTTTTGAGTGATAGAAATATTTCTAGGTGCTTGGTAAATATCATTAGTAAATTTAGTGGTGGAGCTTTTCGTCTCAAAAACACTTTTTGTGTAAACTCAAAATTGGTGTTTCTGAAATAATTTTCATGTTTCAAAAAATAGAAAATAAAAATCTAACCATTTGATCATAAATTATGAATTGAATACAGACATAAATACAATCAAATAATAATATAATTCAGTACTTAATAAGTATTTTTATCAAAAGCTCTATTAAATAAATAACATTTTTAACCACAACATCAAACAGGCAGTAAAAATGTCACATCAAAACCAGTTCAAATCCAATCTAGAATGTGTAAATGTGTCTAGAATTATATCCCAACTTCAAATTTTTTACATTATTTCCGTAACACCAATAAAAATTGACGCATGGACAACTTTTTATGTCAAATTAAAAAGAGAAAAATCATTTAAAATGTGCCCCCACATTTCGTCAAGTGAATTTTTCATCCTTCACTTTTAGAATAATAACTTTACATCCCTTACAAAATTAAGTCGATAAAATTTGGTCCGAGTGTAGATTTTCAACCACTTTTTACCTTGAATCCATCACGTAATTCACACATGATCATAGTTTTAGGGACAAAAAGGTTAGATTCTATTTGCAATTAAATAAATGATTCAATCTATATTCATTTTTATCTCTAAAAAAGTAAGATCTGACCCAAATCATATTTATTTTTTCTACAATAGTGAGATTTGACTCAATTTATATTCATTTTGGCTACTAAAAAAAATGACTGCATCTAACCTTTTTTGTACATAAAAAATAACTGCATGTGAGTCACTTGATGATTTCAGGCTAAAAAGTTGTTGAAAATTTAGGTTGAAATCAAATTTTACTAATTTGAATTTGTAATAGATGTAAAATTAACATTTTAAATGTGAAAAATGAAAAAATTAATTTATTAAAATGTAAGAAACGTTTTGATCGATTTTTCCGATAAAAGAATTCCTGTTTGAATTAGAGTTATCATGAGGCCCATCACTACAATGACTTGAAGAAGTGGGCCGGAGTTCCCAAGTTGACTCACATATTTCAGATGCTATGACACAGTATATTGTTTAGTTCTTCGCAAAAAGCACATTGAGGGAGCATATCATACACAGGCTCCTAATTTTGCACCACGCACCGCTCAAATGCACGCGCGACCAATAGCCTTCCTCATCCAGGCTGCAGCCACTTAGCCAACTTTGGATCATCTTGATTTTTAAAAGGTTGAATGGTTCGAGTCCAAACATCACTATGACAGGTCAGAATATATAATATATCGCTTACACATTATTCCTCGAATAGAAAATTTCGTTTGGTACACTTTTGGTGTTACCTTGTTAAATCATGCATTTGGATACCTTGTGTTTCATGATTCACCAATTCTTACATCAGTCACTCTAGTGCATGGTGTAATAACCTTTATCTTATATTCACTGAGAAAATGTGTGTTGCGCTGCTCTACATTGTAACAAGGTATGTGACACATTTAGGTGATTGGGGTAGACAAATTAGACGAATTATTAATTGTACTATGGTCCCCAGCCAATGGATTCTAGCTAATGAAGGTTTCCATTCAGGAAAAATTCCTATTCTTTGAAAAATATCATTGATATAAATTTCCTCTATAAATCCCATGTTAACCAGTGTTTTGAAAATCGGACCGGACCGGCCGGTTCGACCGGTTGGACCGCGAACCGGCCATGGCTCCGGTCCGGTTCTTTGCTATAGTTGACCAGGTTAGAAAACCGGTCAAAACCCGGTTAAACCGTGGAAACCGCCGGACCGGATTGAACCGGCGGTTTCCGTTTTCGAGATTTCCTCTTTTTTTTTTTTTTTTTTTTTTTTTACGTTTTGCAAAATGCAGCTATCAAGATTCGAATTCAAGACCTTTGTAATAAAAGACCAATGTAGTAACCATTGCACCATCACATCTTATTAGTTTTTTTTTGATAACTTATTTATATAAAACAAAAACTCATATTTCTTTTTTTCATTTTTTTTACAAAATCTAATCATCTCATGACTCTTTCTTTTTAATCTTCAACACACACACACACACTCTCTCTCTCCTCTTTTTTTTGTCACTCTCTTTTTAATCAAACCACTTTATTTTTAATTTATTGATGTTTTCTTTCATCTTTTAATTTTATTTTTGTCTATTAAATTGAAAAAGGTTAAAAAAGAATTATTTTTCTTTAACCCAAATTATTTAATGCCACAACCACTCACTTTTATTTCATTTTTTATTTCTTATCAAGTTTGCATTTCTATTTTCGATTCTCTTGACTTCTTTCAAACTCCAAAATTCCTTTTTTAAATTGCAATCTCTAAATCCCAAAACGTAAATTAAAATTTTAGTTCACAAAATCTAAATTCTCATAGACATGAATTTTGTATAATTTTAAAATATTATGATATTTTTGGGTTAGATCTAAGATTTTTTTGGTAGATATAATTGAAATTGAAATGAAATTTATTTGTTTTAACTTATAATTTAAAATTTTTATTTTTAAAAAATCAAGTTATTCAAAAATAGTAAACTTTTCATCATATAATGTATTAAATTAGTCCATTACATGTCTTGTTTTGTGCATAAATATTTATATAAATTATTTTTTTTTTAAATTCATTGAACCGAGATTGAATCGGTCCGACCGATTGAACCTCGACCCTTTCACGTCACCGGTTCAATTAACGGTCCGGTTTTTAAAACATTGATGTTAACTACTCTGTTTTCAAACTCGGACCAGACCGGCCGGTCGAACCGGGAACCGGTCAGGTAGCCGGTCCGAGTCACATTAAAAAACCGAAAATTTAAAATCCGGTCAAAAATCAGGTTTGATCAGGAAAAAATCGGTTTTTCCGGTTCAACAGTAATTTTTTTAAAAAAATTCAAACTTTTTAATATTATGTTTTGACCCCCTAAATTGTTAAAACTTATTGATATACCTCAAATATTTGATACTTTATAAATATTGTCCTAAAATTTGATGTTATTTTTCAATTAAATTCATAATTTTAATTCTAAACTTGTTAATATTTATTAAATAATATAAATTGCTACTTGATTGTTCTAATTTCTTTGTATTTTCTTGTTAAATATATTTGAAACATCAAATATATATGGATATACCTTTATTAATATCAATATATTATTAGATATTATATATATAATATTTTAATTTTTAAATAATTTTTATTTATGACGTCATCCGGTTCGACCCTTATCGACCCCCGATCGAACCCATTGACCCCTGACCCCTGACCCCTGACCTCGGCCGAGTCGCTATCCGGTCCGGTTCTGAAAACATAGGTTAACTATACACCATTGGAGCTCAAAATACCCATGGAACATTGGATTCTTTTGCTCTTAAAGTCATGAAAACTATGGTCAAATACAGTTGTGTAACCACCCATAAAGCGGCTGAGAGACTTGAGATCAAACGCGAAACAAAGGAGGAGAGTAGGACTAAATCCACCAGAATTTCACTCAAAATACTTGTGAACTCAAGTAATTGGAGACTAGCTAGGTTTTTGTATTTGTCGTGTGCACATACCAATGCCGTTACACGAACCAATGAGTGTTTTCATCTCCATCATTTGTTTTCATCTCTTTGTTGCTGAAATTGACGATTGAACTTGCATTTCAGAAAATTTTGGTGTTGATCTGAGTTGAGGGTCTGAATTTGATTCGGTCTAAGTGAGCTCTACTGAATTGGAACTGGAAATCATGGGAATTCCATTATTTGCACGCACATGCATGGTGCACCTAATGATCAAGGAGCCGAAGAAGGCAAGGGCAAAAGGCGCACTAGCGGTTGATATTATCATTTCCTGTACATAATTTTAAAGTTCACCATTTGAATATGCTATTTAGAGTTATTTTAAACTTTTATCATTTGAATGATTAACGTTTTTATTTTTAAACTTCGCCATCTCATCATTTCACATTATCAAATCTTCCTTCTTTCCTATAGCTTAGATTAATAATTACCTTTTATGTATAATTGCCCACTATCATATTTATTTCTACCTCTATTCTTATAACTATTCACTGCCAAATAATAATTTATTTGTATATATTATTTATGTAAATGTCAATTTTCTATATGTTTTATAAAAATATAAAACCAAATCTCATACATAATAATTTCAATGATTATATTTCAAAGATTTTTAAATATTCATTTACTGTTGCACATTAAGATTTGGGGAATGCATTTTCTTGTATATTGAATGAGATGTGATTTTTTTTTATCTAAAAACTTTTCTTAGGGTTGAACATAAAATAAAAATCATTGATTTAGCAAATCTATTTAGACATTTTTCTTACGTTTGAACATTAAAAAAAATTAACCAAAAAAGGCTGCAGGCTTACTAAGCACGGCTGTCTTCAAATTTTTTTTTTTTTTTAAAATAAAGCTACAGGCTGTCGGGCTAACAACGTGGTAGAAAGTCAAACAAATGCTTAGTTAGCTCGGAAGCCGGACCTTTTAAAAAAAATATATTCTCTTGCTCAGCCCGATAGGCATGGTTCTGTACTAGGATTATGTCAGAGCATTATTGTTACGATTTTTTCTTTTTTGGGCAATAATTAAAGGAATTAGACATAGTATTACATGATTGCATGGGTGTGTGTTAATAAAGATGTATCTATATATCAAGGATTTTTCTAACGAGTCCCCTTAGGACACTCGTTAATACACCTATCATTTGCTTAATGTACCCTAAACACACACACACACTAATAAATTTTTTTTTTTTTGTTGACAAGGGACCTTGCAATCACTACCAAAAGTACGCACTGGGTAAATTCCGCTCCGTGCAATAGCCCGCCAACCATAAGGAGGGGTAAGACGCACTAGGCAAATCCTGTGCGATGGCAGATGTCTTAGGAGAGGTTGTGGTCGATACTATTGCATTTATATATTATTATCCTTTATTGCATACTAATAATTATTATCCTTTATTGCATTTATATACTTTTTCTATTTAACCTTGTCTACTCCTTGTATTTATTTTTTTCTAATTAACCTTATATTTTCAAAAATATAACATCTGAAATATATCTTAACGATATGACACCCGTTAGATAAACCGATAAATCAATAGATACATCGACCACAACTAGTATTCTTGTGCTTCAACCGTAATGTCTGTCTTTTAAATAAGAAAATGAAAGTAATCCATGCATGAGCTTATTAGTAAATGAGACCATTTATTATATGTGACGTCCAATGTAGTTATACGAGAGTGAACCAGAAGGTATACGAGAGTGAACCGAAAACCTTCCAATTCACGGTTCAATCGGTTCAAAAGTTTAATAATTTTTTTATTCATTTTAGTATTAAGAATTTTGAATAAAACTAAAATATTTATTTGATAAAATAAAAACTTAATGAAAACCGGTTGAACCTCTCGGTTTTTACCGATTCAATTAATTCTTTGATTTTTTAATTGAATCAGACCGAAGGCATGGCCGATTCACGGTTCAACCGATTGAATTGGCCGATTCGGTTCGATTTTCAAAAACACTGGCTAAATGATCTTACCAAGACCATGTAGTCTTGAATTTCATAAATTTTGCATTCTACATCTTTTGATTACGAACTAATGTTGTCAATCCAAATCAGTCAAAATTGGATGCCAACTCATGACTCATTAATTATATTGACTTGGTTCATAATAGTCATTGCTCTTTGAATTCATGGTCCCCAAGGGCTATTCAATCACTTCCTAATGACTAGCAATGCCAATTACAGCTAAACGTACATGTCAGCTTGGGACTCTTTAACTACTATTTACAATCATTTGGGATGTCACTTTCCAGTGAGTCTTTAGCCCATTGTGTTAGAGCCCTTCTTCAATTAAGTGTAGAGCTTCCAAAGTAACACTAAAAAAATCTTTAATTAATATACACCTAAGAATTCCAAAGTACTATCACTTCCTCAAGTATATAACTTCTAATGAAATTAAATTTAGAGCCGAGGGATTTTCACAAAGTCGAGGGATTTTGTCACCCCAACCTGGGCTCAATGTAGCTAGCTACGCCTGCCAAGTCCTCTGATTATGGCCTTTATTTGGCCATGGATGGGAAAAAGTTTGATTTTGGCTCTTTTTTTTTTTTTATTTATGTAACAAGGGCATTTTGAGGAGAAGAAAATACCAAATGATGAAATTGTAGTTTCATTACTCCATGGCCTGCTGAGATCTGTTTTCAATTGCCAGATTTTAGTAAATGATATTGTTCTGCAAACTATTAGTAGTTAAATGCTGAAATTAAAAGTTCAAGGTGCATAGTGAGATTTGGAAGTAGTTTAGGATGCTAGTGTAATTAGCCATAAATTAACATCATGCGTGTTCACCGGGCTGGACGGATCCGAGATTGCCGCCGTGGAAAAGGGTGAAGAATCAATTCAAAATTGTTCCATCAATGTGGTAGGTAGATTAACCATGTTAAAAGGCGCAGTGATTCACTTAAGACTTGTCAGACAGTCAGAGCCCCTAAATTACTTAGCTCTATCAAATTAAAGAAAACTAGTACTTTTTGCACGCTTGATGTGTGTCCAATAATAAAAAAAGAAAACTTATAATATTCATAGTAAATGAATTTTATATAAATTTTTCATTGTAAAAGTAAATTTTAATCTCTTAAATGTATTTCATATAATAATTGTAATATCAGAAGTTACAATGCTTAGGTTAGCTATGTTGTAAAATAAATAGTTGAAGCAAAATATTTTTTTCAAGATAACTAACCATAAATATGTATTCAGATAGTTAAAATAAAAATGGTTTCCATAAGGACAAAAATAGCGAAAATTTTTACGGGTCCTTTTTGGTATTATTCGCTTAACTTGTATCTCTCGCAAAAGATATTAGTTTAAATTTTAAATAACACTTCTTTCACAATTTAATGACGATTTTCATTTGTCATATGATATCCAAAAAGGACCGTAAATCCCCTTACAAATAGAGGTTTACAAATTGACAAACACTAAACTCCCTAATCTCTTTTTATATATTTTATAAATAACATCAGATTTCACTTGAGAGTTAAGATGAGTGGTTTTTGTCATTTTTGTGATAAATTGCTTCTTCCCACGTTCAAATAGGGGTTGTGCCAGTGTCATTTGATCATTTGCCACGTCTCGAAGCAGACGAAAACGTCGTATGAGATCCACCTAGCTCCTCATATCTGATATCAGTCATCTACAAAACACAATCATGCAGGTAGGGAATAGCCAACGAATCTAGAGAGTCTATTACTCAGAATGAATCCGACTTTGAAATTAAGCAAACGTATTCATGAGCATAATCTCACTAACAAGGTGGAATATCTCAACTTGGTTAGGCGACCATCTTTGTTGATCTACTCATTATGTTTTACCATATGGCTCAGCTTCTGCTTCCTGTTTGCTTCCAACACTCTCAAGTCCACCTTCGAACATGGAGACTTAGACTAGCCCGAGCAAAGGAACTCCTTAAACCAGCCCGGCAACGGTAGGCCAGGTATTGTCTCTCGTTTCATTGGCACATTTACATTTGTTGACAAAAACATCTTACAATTTGTTAAACCTGCTCCATTTGGTTTCTGAAATGCATTCACAATACATCGAACTCTGTTCTTTGTGATGTTTTGAAGAAACTGAAAAATGTGACCTATCGAAGGGTCGTTGGACTCAAGATGCTAGAGGGCCTTTGTATACAAATTTCAGCTGTAAAACACTCCCTTACCAGAGGAACTGTTTCTTGCATGGGAGGATGGACAGGGACTTCCTTCAATGGAGATGGAAGCCCGATCAATGCGACCTTCCTGTCTTCAATCCCAGGAGCTTTCTAAACATTGTTAAAGGAAAGACGATGGGTTTCATAGGTGACTCACTTGCCAGGAATCACATGAATTCGCTTCTCTGTTTATTATCTGAGGTTTGTTCTTGAAATCCTTCCCTCAAATATATTCAGACATATGAAACCAAACGTTTACTCGCGTTTTAATTATATGATCTAGTTGGATAAGATGCAACTCTGTTAATGAATTTATTTGTAGACTTTTCATTCACATATCTTAGGCTTATTACCAATGCTTTATGCTTTTGTTAAAACTTTGTTTATAACTTATTTAGTCTTCTCTTTTAGTTCATCTACATATTAGTCAGAACTATAACTTGTCAAATGTTAAAATCATAGTTTTATTAAGCTAATTAGATATTGCATCGAGAGTATTACAAATGAAAGTATTTAAATTCATTTAACTTGAAAATCTTCGAAAAACTTCTATATTTCATGTAAAACATTTTACTGAGAAAGTATTTCTTGGTTTAGAACATTTCACATCCAACAAAAGAATGCCATAGCCACTTATTACGCTAAATTTGAATAAAAGGAATTTATATGAAAAAGTGAATCAAAAGATACATAAAAGAAAGTTAAAGTAGACCTTTTTTTAAGCAAAAGCTAAAGTATAGTTGTCTACTTTGTTTGATAAAATAAATGGAAAGAAAATGAGTACGTATCAATGTTCATTATTGGAACCTTTTCTAATTGAAAGAAATTATTTTCCTTCAAGAAATTTCAGCTTGTTTACAAATCAAACGCACGGCACAACAATAAAAAGTGTTGATACTTCATACCTTTTTATTATTTTCCTAGGAACCCAAAAACTATCTCAGGCTCTTGCACGATTCCCTAGCTAGCCACCAAGAAGTCTTTCCCTAATTTTGGCTACTTGTATAATCCACTATAGATCTTGATGACAGAGATCAACTTTTTATATAGGATTCGGATGTCTCATGTTTCTCAAATTGAGATGGTTGCGTTTGGTTCTGCATGGACAATGTCGTAGTTGTTGTACTGACTTTTGATGGTAGACCCACTCGTTCCTTCATATAAATTCAATTGATCAAGGGGCACCAATGTGTGTAACATGGGACTAATACTAGCAAGTGTAGAAGGTGATACAAAGCTAGGAAAAGTTTGGTTAACATAAACATGACTTTATATTTTTTCTTTTTGGTCAACAGTGTACGTGAGTATACACCGTACAGTACCAACCCTATTTGATAACTCAATCTAATATTTAAATTTATTAGGTTCAAATTTTAATATGTTTGATAACCAAAAATAGATATGGCATTGAATTTTTTAGAGTTTATTGCCAAAATAATTCTCCTTCAAAAACATATACCCAAAGTAATTTAATTTTAAAGTTTGTTACCATTATAATTCTTTTTTTACCACTTGGGTTGCATATGTGTTAGGATAGAGATAGAGACACACTCCATTTCTCTTTTTTATCTAATATCTTTCATGATTCTTTCTCATTTTGAACCTTCCCACACTTCTTTTCCTTTCATTATCTTTCTCTTGTCAAACGTAATTCTGAAAAGTCAATATTTATATTAACAATATCTAAAACTTTAGTATCATACTTAATATTGTTTCGGTAGATGAAAATATTCTTCTAAAATCGATAATCTCAAGATAAACAAACATTATTCTCGTCTTTTCTATTGTGAAGTTTATGGAACATTCCTATGGCCTTCAAAAAATGGCCATGAATGGTAAAGAAAATGACGAGAATGTGGTTACTTTTGATTGGTGAAGCTTGAAGTGCAAAGTACTGGTTCAAATATTTCAACTCTACCTGCAATTAGATCACCTATCCCTCTTGGAATTTTTTTTTTCTTCTTGGAAATCTATTATAGTTATACTATGATTGAGTATTTTTTCAAGTTATCCTACTCTACTTAGAGATAAAGAAGAGACGTATACTTATTTGTCTTCTTGGTTCTCATAAAGTATAACCTTTTGTTATTTTTTTTGGTTTGTCACCTATTTGAATGGTTGCCAACTTATTTGAAACTTGTTTTTAGAACCCCATTAACTAATTCCATCTTGATTTTCTTTCATATTCTGAAATTATGGTTCCTCACTAGCTAGGAAATTGTACAAATCATTAAGTAAGAGTGGCAGGAAAAAAAATATAAGGGTAAAACATCATGAACAATGCTGGAAAATATTCAATTGGAACCAGAGAAGAAACTTTCAGCTTGATTACTTTTTGTAAAAGTTTTTTTCAAGGAGTAGGAAGGATAACATAGAGGATAACATAAACAAATATCATAGCCTTGAAGTTTTTGTGACCTTCTCTTGTTATTGCTTACAATTTTCGTTGAAATTTTCATTGCAATTTTGTATTTTTTAAAAATTATTTTTTAAAAAAATATATGCAATAGGTTTGATTCATTTCAAAAAAAAAAATGTAGAGACCAATAATTGCAAGGTCAATAATGGTAGAATTTATTTTAAATAATTATAAGGAAATTATCAAAGTTATGCTATCTTTTTGTGCCTCTATAAGAAAAAAAAATTTAAAATTTTAGTTCATGTTACAAACTATAGAGTACATTAAAACTTTCTTTTCTTGTTATCCTACATGGCAATCAGGATAATTAGGTGGCAACAATAACATCATTATAGGAATAAATTTTGAAAGTGAATCAAATTAGGAATATTTTTTTTAAAAAGTCTTATTTTGGCAAAAAAACTCAAATTTTTTAAGCAAAACTTGTTTAAAAAAATAAGTGATAATCTATTCACCTATCACTTAATGTGATAACATTTAAATGTATCAAATTTAGTACTTAACAATTCAGTAATTCAATGGATTTAGATTTTAGATTTCAAACTTCAAATTTCAGTTTTCAAATTTCAGTTTTATTAAGCACACCCTTAAGTAAGTTAAACACCAAATTGGATTTAAAATCCTTCTTTACACTGTAGGTCAGGAGTTCAAACTCATAACATGCAGTTTAAAAAATTAAAATGGTGTGTACCCCTTTGGTCCATATATATGAGCCTGCTTTTCCCCTAATTCCTTATACAATCTAGTTGGATTTTTCTTATGTGATAGAGTATTGATAGTATAGATGTTACCAATTGAGAGAGAAAAAAATGTAGTATAGATGTTACCAATTGAGAGAAAAAAATATAGTATAATAAAGCCTAGATCCAAGGCCTCACAATCTATGTTTCGTATAATTTTGCACAAGTTAACCTCTGGTGTAAATCAATAGGATTTTGGTATTAATAAGGTCCAGTTTCACATAAATTAGGTACAGTTCAATATATGTTGATTTTTATTATTTAGTATAATTTGATATAAGTTGATTATTATGTATGTTGAGTATAAATTATAAATTTACACCAACTCGTACGAAATGAAACTTATGAGGCCGCGTTTCCCACAAAGCCTTAAGTCGTACCCACACCAACTTCTATCATTTCACTTTTTGAGCGGGGTCACAAGGGCATTAAAATTATGCTGTTAGCTATGTAGTTTTGTAAATATTTGACATTGCCCACCACAAGTCAATAAAATGTAAAGATACGCATGACTGATTTGGTGAGTTGATTGGAATCGAGTAGTGAAGGATTCAAAACCAAGTTGTTTCTATCATTTAGATGTTTTGGATGTAAATTGGGTTACTTAATACTCCATTCATGAAAACATTTATGTAAAAATTAAATAAGAGGTCCATATGTTAAGTATGCCTAGCAGATCACGATTCAAAAAATCAAAGAAAACCTATTAAGTGTATCAGGAGGGATAGTTGGGTGGTATGGAGGGAAGGAGTATAAGTGAGAGATCATGGATTCAAGTCCTCACACTTACACTAAAACAAATGTAAAAAAAAAAAGAAAAGAAAAGAAACCTATTAAGTGAAGTATTCTTCACTAATTGTAGTCCATTTCACCTATTAAGTGAAAATTATGAAGAGTCAGCTTGATAATTCTCGTCTAATTCAAGTATAGTAATGTATACGTTTATTAATTAGTTTTTTTTTTCATTTCAAGTACTATGGCGTTTTATATTTATTAACACTGGGGAGGGGCTGCTGCCACCTTTCTAAGAATTTGAAAACTTTTTTGGTATTATTGGTATTTTTATAGTTTAAGTCTTTGCCTCACTTCCCAAACAAAATTTTTTTTATTGATTATTATGCTATATTTGGTTTACTTTTGGAGGAATTGTAACTTCATCAATTATGTGCTTTGCCGCGTACAAAATCCTTTAAAAAGTTAATGTAATTCTTGTTAGCACTATTGTAAAAATATCATTGTATCAAGAGATTAAAAAGAATGCATGATATTATATTTGTCTCCACCTGAAATTAATCCACACTCCCGCACTTATCGTGACATGTTTCTGAACTTTCTAGTATGTGTTAACATTCAAACAAATTTTATCATGGTGTCGGAATGTTGGCTAATTTCTCGACAAATCTTTATTGCTCGACCTATAAGAAAACTCTAAATAAGATTGCACTATTTGTTCAATTGATGCCATTTCATTAGTCAAAGAACAACTATTAGATTTGCCAGTTACCATGCTGCATTCATGGATAGAAACTTGTTAAACTTAGTTCAAGAAACTCCATTTTGCAGGAGGAAACCCCACACGAAGTATACAGGGAAGATGAGGAAGGGAAGACCATAATATGGCACTTGCCTCGTAACAACTTCACCATCATGGTGCTGTGGTCCCCATTCCTCGTCTCCGCCTCAGAGATGGCAGTCAACGGCACCGAAACCGGCGGTTTTCATCTGCACCTAGACAAGATTGATGAGAGTTGGGTGCAAAAACTACCAGCCCTAGATTATGCCATTCTCTCAGCCACCAACTGGTTCTTCAGACCCAACTACGTGTACGAGGGTGGTCATTTTCTTGGATGTATTTACTGCTCGGACCCAAACGTGACGCACCTTGGCCCTGACATTGTCATACAAGGAGCTTTTAGGCTTGCTCTTAAGTCCATCAACGATTGCAACAGCTGCTCGAGGATAGTAACTTTACTGAGAACATTCTCACCATCCCAATTCGAGAACGGCACTTGGAACACGGGAGGGACTTGCAAGAGAACACGCCCATTTGCTCCAGAAGAGATTTACAACGGTGGCCTGGATTTGGTTTACAGGAACGCCCAACTGGCAGAGATTGATAATGCCCGCAAATTGGGAGAGGAAAAGGGAAGAGCATTTGATGTTATAGATGTTACTGAAGCTATGCTAATGAGGCCTGATGGCCATCCTGGATTACATTGGGATAACCGATGGAACAAGGGACTGAGTGATTGCCTCCATTGGTGCTTGCCAGGGCCTGTTGATACTTGGAATGAATTTTTACTTGAATTGCTCCAAAGACATTCCAGCTTCCCTCTTAGCTCTAGAAGTCATGCAGCAGCAGAAATTAAAAAATTACTACTGCAACAGTGAAACAGTTTTGGACTCCAAGAAAAAAGTCACCAATGAAGCCAACAGTTTGATAGAGGTTTAACCGGTCTTAGAGGCAATGATATGTGGGCTGTGTTTTTGCAGTTAATATTGAAGGGACTCTCAGCAATTATAACAGTAATAGCACTATGCAATTCATGGTTCGGAATGGATGAATTCGAAATTGGACAGATTAGATTGATTTTGGAATACAAATTTTAGTGAGTTATTTTTTAAATGTCTTTGCATATTTATTGTATTAGTTTTTATATTTTTTATATTAGTGCTTGCGCTGTAGGGATAACTAGAATTGGGAATTGCAGAGGTGCCGGATCCGTTACTATCCTCTCAAACCTCTAATGCGATTTTTAGGAGAAAATTCCAAATTATTTGATTATTGAATTTCATATTTGCTTGCCTTAGCATGAATTTTTAAATTTTATTTTAGTGCAAATGAAAGGACCCGAGCTCAGAACCTCTCATTTACATTCTCTCTTCCCCAACCATCCAACCCATCCCTCCCTCATGCGTCTTCAACACGATTTGGTGATTCTTTGTGCTATTTAATTTGCTTACCTCTTTTTTTTTTTTTTTGTTAATCGATAACTCCTATACTAATCTTACTCCTAATTTTACTCTAGCCTATCTAAGGAAAGGCCCAACCAAGCTAATGAGGATTAGAGACAGTGGATCTCACATCAAGACCAAAGGGGTGTACTATTCTACATCCTTTAAATTTAGAAGAAATCATATATTAGTGGCAATTGATGGGAAGTGAGGTTCGAAACCTTGATCTCTTATCCCACAAAAGCAGTTAAAGGCACATATTAGTGGCTATTTAATTTGTTTATGCTTGTGTGTTATGTCATAGATTTACTTTTTTTTTTCCGTCATAGAATACCTTTATACCTAAAATTCACCTTTACATAACAGTTCTTTATTAAGTCAGAGTCTATTTAGAAATGCTGTGTTTTTCAAAAATGGCGAGTTTTTGGTCTCAAAATCTCTTTTTGCAGAAACTCAATATTAGTGCTTTTGAATTAACGTTCATGTTTTAAAAAATAAAAAATAAAAATTTGACGTATTTATTAGAAATTATGAACTGAATAAAGATATAAATATATCCAAATGATATGATTATTTAACAAGTACTTATACGGGGCGAGGAGGTGTTGATCTAGTGGTTAAGATTAAAACTTTAGAGGTTCTAGATCTAAATCCCTCTATATCTTCATTGCTTTTTAAATCTCACTCCCCTCCTGCTCAAAATTTTTTTTTTTAAAAAAAGTACTTTTACCAAAAGTTAAGTTCTACTAAATGAAGTTTTTTTTTTTAACCGTGATTTCAAATAGGCACCAAAGATCTCATATCAAAAGCTAGTTAAAAAAAAAAAAAAAAACTTTTTTACCATAATTTCAAACAGGCACTGAAGATCGCATATCAAAAACTAGTTCAAATCCAATCTGGAGCGTGTAATGGTGTCTAGAATAATATCCCAACTTCGAATTTGTGTTTCGTCCTTCTAATCAAAATGGTCCATGAACAACGTTTCAATATCAACCGAAAAAATTTCATTCCGAATTTAGAGTTGTCAAGAAGCCCATAACCACGATTACTTGACAAAGCGGGCCGGAGTTCTAAAGCTGAATCAAATTTTTCAGATGCCATGGTACAGCACATTGTTTAGTTCCACCCAAGCAGCAGGTAGAGCAGACACAGGCTTCTAATTTTGCCGTACGCCCGGCCCGAATGAACAGTCAACTAAAAGCACTCATCAGGGCTGCAGCCGACTAACCATAGCACTTCCTCATCAGGGCTGCAGCCGACTAACCAAATTAATCCCCTACTCATAATATAAAATAATCCATGGAAAAAGTGGTATTAGTCATCCTGAGATGATTAAGAGATATGGTAATGAAATTTATACTAATTATCCTTATAAATGATAGAAATTTATATTTTCATAATTAAATAACCTTATCCTCACACGATAATATAAAATGAGTTGACTAATTTGCCCCTACTAATTAATTTAAATTTTTTGACTAATTTACCCCTACTACCAACATAACAATATTTGAACTAACTTGTACTTGCAAATGATACAAATTCATACTGAATATTATATAACCATACTTTTAGACAAATGCAAATGATATTCATACTGAGTATCATGGAGAAAGTGGTATTAGTCATTCTGGAATGACTAAGAGATAGGATGATAAAATTTTAAACTAATTTATCCTTATAAATAATGTAAATTTATATTTTCATAATTAAATAACCTTACCCTCACACAATAATATAAAATGAGTTGACAAATTTGCCCCTACTAATTAATTTAAAATTTTGTGACTAATTTACCCTTACTACTAACATACCAATATTTGGACTAATTTGTAATTGCAAATGATATAAATTCATACTGAATATTATATAACTATACTTCTACATAATAATATGATAATAAATGGACTAATTTACCCCTACTGATTATATTAAAACATTTTTACTAATTTGCCCCTATTCATTATTTTAAATTTTTTTGGCAGAATTATCCCTATTAATTAATTTAAATTTTTAACTAATTTGCCCCTACTTACATCCTAATAAAAGATGATATTTCCCTTTGACTAAATTGCCCTTACTAACCTTATTTTCTCAACCAAATTCTATATAAATATATAACCTTATTAATTGGGCTATGCGAATTAAGGCTTCAATAAGCTCAAGCTCGACACAAAAAAAATCTTCTATATTGGTTTAATTTGGCTCATTTAAAACTCTTAAGTGGGTTAGATTTTATTCAATTTAATCCTAATTTAGGCAAAAATTGGCCCATCATTTAATTAAATTTCAAATTTCAAACTTATATTCAAAAATTAGTCTAAAACCTATTTTTAAGGGTCCAAATAGGCTGAGTTCGAGTGAATGCAAATATTTATAAATCAAAACCCTTGATTTACTTTATAATTCTAAAGTTTCAAATTACTTTATTTTAATAAAAGTTATAAATTATTAAATTATTTTATTAAAACAATCTTACAAATTAAGGAGTGCTTTAGTTATTAAAATAGTAATCCTACCTCATCCAATTTCCAACCAAACACAAGATAGGATGATTTCCAATACATCCTATTCAACGTTTGTAAGGCCCGAAGACAACCAATGAGACAGTTGATAAGAAAGCACAAGTGCTTGTGAGTAGAAGAGATAAACAAATTAAAGATCATAAACGTAACAATAAGTAAATAAAAAGGAAAGAGTTACAAACCAATTAACTACCCAACTCCTCTTGAGCTTGTAGATTAATTGAGACAAGCTACTTCAAGTTGATGAATTATAATCACTCTTGTGTACAAAGGAAGGTTCACCTCCTCCTTGTCCCGAACTCCGCTCGGTCAAGCCAGGACGTTTTACTATCCCTCAGGACAACCCTCACAGAGCTACACTCATGAAAGTTCACTCACAAATGAAAAGCTTACAAAGAACCTCACACCACTAAGACTACAAATCTAGCTTTGGAGACTATTTTCTAGCTAAAATATCTCTTGAGATCTTGTAAACAAAGTGTGCAAAAGTTATCTGAAGTATCTGACCAACCACTATTTATATAGGACCAAGAAAGTGCCTCATTAACGCATCCAACGGATAGAAAGTAGCTGAATAGTCAACTAGCCGTTGGGGACGTCGGACGTCCGACAGATTAATCACCGTCCGATCCCATCGTCCAAAATCAGCCAAGTTGTCGTTCGGACGTCCGATGGTATTTTATCGTCCGAGCTTCTGTGTCCGAACGTCGTCCAGAGAGTTATCAAATCTTCGTGGAATTTTTAGGACGTCCGATGAGATTGATGTGCGTCCGAAGCATGCGTCCAATCCTTCAGGACGTCCGATGCTTCCTTACGAGCGTCCGACAGAGTTTCCTTCTTGATGTTCTTCATCCTTTCGGACGTCCGATCCTGACTATTTGAGCGTCCGACAGCTTCAGCATACTTAGTTCCCTTTCAATTGCACTTGTTCATGGAATCAAACAACTTCAAAACTGAAAGTATATCTTGAAGAAATATTAGTATCATCCATTTGTTTTGTAAACATCAAAAGATAGGGATCAAGATCAACATTCTCCCCCTTTTTGATGATGACAAAACAATGGATGGAAGAAAGGAAAAAGATTGAGCATATGAGCATAGACTCCCCCTCACTCATTGCAACCAAACTTATAATTTCAGAATAACTCCCCCTAACACATAGCATCCATTTCTCCCCCTTTTTGTCATCATAAGATGAGAGTAATACCCAACAACCATAATCCAACAATAATAACAGAGAATCCAATATTCAAAACAAAACAGAGAAATGATACCAGAATTCAGCAATAGCAACATACCAACATATCACAGAGAGATTAGCAAATCATCGTTAGATCAGAATAGTTCTTTTCTCTCCCTTTTTGACACCATACAAATTCAGTAGTATTCAAAAATATCAGCGAAAACACAGATCAAAGTATCGGAAATATCAAAAAAAATATTGTGAACAAGAATCACTGCAATGATTAACAAAATCTCCTATTTGTTAAAGTTAGCATCATGTCTAACTATCCACATGCATTCATGCCTCTTCTCATATTCTTTCTCACATAACAATCACTTTTCATGTGACCTTTTTGACAACAAAAATTACACATAACCAAAGAGTTATCTACATGAACAGGTTTAATAAATCTTACTTGTCTTCTCCTATGGATAGCAAATTCGTTGGAATTAGAATTCAACTTATTCTTTTGAAAACAGACTTGTTTCTTGTGTTTAAGCAACTCATTTAGACCATCCATTCTTCTTTTCAAATCACCTTGTTCCTTTTTGAACAAATCACAAAGTTTTGTTTTTCTATCAAGTTCAAAATGTAAAGCAGTCTCAATCTTTTTGAAGTAATCATTTTCAGCTTTCAACTTTTTATTTTGTTGAAAAAGATTTGCATTATCTCGAAACAAAAAATCAATTTTCTGTTTTAACCCCTTGTTTCTAGCATAGGACTGTTTCAAACTATCATGCAATTTTATAATGAAAGATTCAATATCATCATCAGTTTATTCATCACTTTCAACTTGAGAGTTATAAGATGTTACCTCATCATCTCCAATGGCCATTAGTGCCATTTGGGCCAACTCTTCTTTTTCTCTTTTTGAATTGCATTCATCCCAT